AGAGGTTAGGGTCGATGCGCTGCAACGCTGTATAATCCCACAGGACGGGTTGTTACAAAATTATACTGTCAATCACCAAAACATTTGCATAAATCGATCATTAGAAGATTATATTACATTTATACATAATTTATAATTAATATATATATATATATATATATATATAATAAGATAAAAGCAATCTTTAATAAAAATATTTGTTTAGTTAAACTCATAATCTCATTTAATTGTAAAATATAAACCCAAACTGATAATAATCTTGTTTAGATTGTAAAAATATAAATCCTACTTATAAACCTAAATCGACATATAATTTCATTTAGTTATAAAATTTAAATTATAATGCTCATAAACTCAAATCAACATATAACCCATATAGTTGTAAAACCTATGCCTCACCTCTCAATCTTCCTTTATAAACAAAAAGTAACATTTAATCTTGTTAAATCGTAAATCCTAATAACATTGATAAATTCCAACCGACATAACCTAATTAGGTTAATAGTTTAATTTTTTACTTAAAAAGGTTGATAAGGTTGAATACATTAAATGAAAATACATTTAAAATAATTATATTCAACTTTTGATAAGGTTGAACATAATTATTTTTAATGTATTTTTTCAATATGGTTTTTAAAAACTTTTTTTATCTTATGTGGCGACATCTTATGTGTTACTTAACACTTACCATGATCACGTGAGTTAGTAACTTTCAAAAACCAAGCTTCAATATATATATAATTGTTAAACCTAAACCATAATTCTTTTTTATAAAGCTTAACTATAATTTTTATTTATAAACCAAATCCAACATCTAATATGTTTTAAACTTTTAATTGTAAAATTAAAATCTAAACCTTAAGAATTAAAATCTAAACTTCAAACCTTCTCAGTTTTTGAAACCGACTTAACAACTTTAAGATTTCCATAAGATTTTTTAATATATAACTGTTTGTAATACTTAGTTTATAAATTTCCTTTTTGATATGTTTAAAAATATTTCTATATATTTTTTAACCTAAACATTAACAAAGTTAGAATCGACACGTGTTAACATCCTATCGTTTATATTTGACATGTGTCACACTCTTGTTAATGACTGACTTTGAAAATCAAGCTTTATATAATACTAGTTTAGTACCCGTCCGATGGACGGGTTATCTTTATTTAAAATTAAATTAAAATTAAAATTTATTATAACTTATAAAAAAACAATTTTCAATTTTTTTTTTGAAAAGAGATTTTATTTGGTTAGAAGTATCAAATAAACGTGTATATATATATATATATATATATATATACATCTCTATATCTCTTAAAATTCGTTACTAAATGTTAATTATAAAAATCTAGTAATGTCAAATTGACAATCACCAAAACATTTGGGAGCTATTTGGGAGCTATTCACCATTACTCATAATATTGATAAAATATTTTTAAAAATCTTAATTTAGCAATTATCCTCTAAAACATGATTATACCATTTTGTAAAAAAAATTATTTCTTTACTCTCAATTTTTCAAAAAATCATTCTCAGACTATGAAAAGTAATGAATTATTATTTAATATGATGGTAAAGTTCTTTCAAATTAACATCAATTTAAAATATGATGTTAAATACAAATACAGTCATTTGTAAATTCATATAAACAACGCAAATAAACATAAAGATTCTAAAATAAATATAGCATCGTTGAGGAAAACATTAAAAAATCTTTCAAATAAGAATTATAAAAAAATACATATTTTCTTTAAAAATATTTTAAAATTACTATATTACGATTTATATTGAACTTTGTTATCTTTAGTTTAAGATAAAAATATTATTTTCGAAAATCTTTTATTCACCCTTATGTTTTAGACAATGAAATTGCTCAATGCCATAATACATTCATACATAAATTAAAAATTAAAAAAATATAACATATTATAAAATAAAAATCATGAATAAAATTATGTATTTAGTTAAACTCAAAATCTAATTTATTTATAAAGTTTTAAAAAGGTTGTAAACGGCATATATAAGACTTTTATACGGTTTTTATAAGGTTTAAAAAGTTTTTATATGTTTTTAAATGGGGGAATTTCAAAAATACCCCTTTTCATATACCTCTTTTTAAAAATACCCCATTTTCAAACTTTATTAAAAACCCCACTAAAAATGTTGAAATTTATCCAAATATATGTGTAAGCTTATAAATATATACATAAATTACCTTTATATGTGTATAAAACTTTATATACCTTTCATAAACAGCGTAAAAATAAATTATAAAAACCTTATAAAAACCTTATAAAAACCGTATAAACCCTTTTAAAAACCTTATAAAACTTATAAAACGATTTAAAACTATTTAAAACATTTTAAAATATTTGTATCGAATCTCCCAGTAGTAGTTATTATACAGAAGTACCTTATAAACTATATATAACTTTATAATTTTTTATATTTAAAAAGGGGTATTTTTGAAAATGGATAGATAAAGGGAGTATTTTTAAAAAGGGGTAAACCAAAAGGGGTATTTCTCAAAAATTCTCTTTTTAAATAATTTTTAAAACGTCTTTAAAAGGTATTTATATGGTATTTAAATTTACACACATAGAAAGATAATTTGTGTCTAAATATATAAGCTTACATATTTTTATTTATAAATATCAATTTTTTTACTTTTTAATTATCAAAAATACCCTTTTTCCATACCACTTTTTAAAAACACCTCTATTTCAAACTTTATAAAAAAACCACTTTAAATGTTTAAATTTATCCAAATATGTGTGAAAACTTATAAATATACACATGAATTACCTTTATATATGTTTAAATTTTTATATATTTTCACAAATAGCGTAAAATAACTTATAAATACCTTTTAAAAACCTTATAAACCCTTTTAAAAACCACTTAAAACCTTATAAAACTTGTAAAAACGATTTAAAATCTTTTAAAACATTATAAAATATTTGTATCAAATTTCCAAGTAGTAGTTATTATATAGAAGTGCCTTATAAACCATATAAAAATGTGTAATTTTTCATATTTAAAAGTGGATATTTTTTTAAATGGATAGATAAATGAGGTATTTTTGAAAAGGGGTACACCAAAAGGGGTATTTCTCAAAAATTCTCTTTAATTTTTTATAATTTTTTTAATGTTGTTTAAAAATTCTATTTGTATCTTAATATTAACAAAATTAGATATAACATGTTGCGACATCTTATGGTTTTACTTGACATTTATCATGATCACGTGAGTTAGTAAATTTAAAAACCAAGTTTCGACCTATAATCTCGTTTAATTGTTAAACTTAAACCATAATTTAATTTATAAAAATAAACCATAATTCTTATTTGTCATTTATATACCCAAACCAACAAATAACCTGATTTAATTGTATAATTAAAGTTTAAATCTTAATCCTCTTCTGTAAACAAAAATCGCCATATATTCTTGTTAATTATAAAATTTAAATCCCTATCTTATTAATAAAACAAATTGACATAACTAAAATTAGGTTATTTATTTAATTTTGTTAATAATTTTTAATATATAATTCTTTATAATATTTATTTTATATATTTCCTTTTTCGATAGGGTTAATAATATTTCTATTTTATCCAAATATTAACAAAATTAGTTACGACACGTGTCAACATCTTATCGTTTATAATTGACACGTGTCACGATCTTGTTAATGGCTGACTTTGAAAACCAAGGTTTATATAATAAGATATATATATATATATATATATATATTGTTTTAATTAGTTAGAGAAATATTAGAAAATGTGAAATTAGATATGGAAATAAAAAATCTGCTGGGATATAATTTGATTTATATCCAAACCGAACTAAATATCCAATTTTAAATTTCCACATGTTTAGTTTTAGGTTAACTTTTAATTTTGAAAGAGCCATATTCAAAGTATATTTCTGTATATCATCTTAAAAAATATTTGTTTTGTTTAAGATATCATTGTTTAAAAGAAAATATGAGAAATTTTGAGAAATATCATTTTTGGTATATTTTTCTATCCACTTGTTTTTTTTTAATCTGAATATATTATAACGTTTTATAAGGTTTATAAGGTGTTTATAAATTTATGTATTTTGTTTTTAATTATTTATTAAAGGATTTTATATATGTATCTAACAAAATTAAAAAAATTCAATAGCGACAAATTTTTTTGTCAAATGATATAAGTAAACTATAAAGCATGAGTAACTAGATGAGAAAATTTCAGTTTAGATTTGGTTAAAAGCAAGTTGGGGGAAAGTCCAATTCGCTCGTGAACTCTTGAGATCTTCACAAGTCTAGAATTTCGTTATCTTCTTTTTACAACTTATAGAAACGTGTTCTTGCAAAACTCTTTTTATTTTATTTTTATTTCATAGATTTTATATGGATTGTGTCAATCGACATGTGTGTCGGTTTATGTACTTAGGACAGTATTATAAAGAATATCTTATAGCTAAGATTTACATAAAAAAATAACTTTTATAAATCTTAGCTCTAAGATATCTTTGATAATGTTGGTCTTATGTTTTAACTTAAAATAATTAAGTTCTTTTTTATAAGTTATGATGTAAGTTACATAAGTTTTTTTTTGTTTTTTTACATAAGTTCTTTATTTTTACAAGAGAAAAACTTCATTAATTTTATTGTATGATCACTTATTCAATCAAAATGACCCTTACACATTCATATTCGATATATCTTACAAGTAAGAGCTGATCTTATCCCTTTCAAATATCAATGAGAAAAGTCAAGAGAAGTTTGAAAACTCTTTGTATCGTGGCTCTCAGATAAAGTACTGGAACGCCTTCATCATCTCTCTGTAAAGTGAAGTTTGTTGTGCATGATTCTCACTCCTACTAGTAGCATCAATGCAACTGGCAGGTAGCTATGATCGTATCACGTATGCATGTAATCTTATATATATACAGATTCAAATATGAATATCAAAGTTTCTATCTATATTTCATGCATTGAAGAGCAACGAGAAGATACACAGTTCTTACAAGGCCAACCTTGCAAGGAGACAATGGTACGTATATAGTAAACTTACATAAGTTTTGTTCCCTACTTATATAGTCTTAACTTCTATTGCACCACAACGCTTCTTATCAAATCTCATGTCCTTCGTTTAGTTGAACTATATGTACTGCATGATGTATTATTTAGTTAATCCAATATATATACACGTCCGTTATATTTACAAGATATGATATGGTACTTAAACTTGGTAAAGCAATATGGTTTTTACTTTTATAGAAGTATACGTTAGTATTCTATCAATTAGTTATAGCTTCTCTTAAAATAAAACTTCATCTTCATATATATGCTTAGGACGAAAGGAAGCTTCGAAAGGCCTTCTCTGATGTTTCCCTCGAGATAAAACGAAATATACGCGAAAAGGAGGAGCAAGAACAAGAAGGAGAAGAGCTAGAAGTGAAGAAAGTGAAATGTGATTGTTGTGGTATAGAAGAAGAATGTACTGTGCAATACATAGACAAAGTTAGAAACTTGTATTCAGGCAATTGGGTTTGTGGTCTTTGCGCCGTAGTAATCACTGAGAGGTTTCGCAAGGATCCTCTCACAGCCGCGGGGATACAAGGAGCCTTGGACTGGCACAAAGGGATTTGTGATGACTTCAATTCTACTACAAGAGTTAACCCTAAACTTGATTTCGCAAGATCGATGAGAGATATCGCTAAACGAAGCAATCAGAAGAGAATGTCATCAGACTTTTCTTTAGGTTCCAAAATTTCTCGAACAATCAGTTGTGATCCAAGACTTGAGCGATGATGTAGAACCAAGTTCGTCACGTTATTCTTCTATATATTACAAACAAAACAAGTTATAGTTATTCCTTAAAACATTTACAATGATATAAAGGTGTTTTGCAATATGTACTTATTCATCAGACTTGAATTCTTATTTAATGCCTCGATTTTTCATCATTTCGATTATGTTTAATACTTATTTGTATTTTTATATCTGAATTTGTGACATGTCTTCTTCAATAATTAAATGTCAAAGAGATACGATTCTGAAAATTCTGTATATTCATAAACGGCTATACACACATACATATATACTTTAGGTTATATAAACCCTAGTTACAATAATACTAGACCTAATTAAGCCCATAACAATATTAGGGCCCATGGCCCTATTAGATATATTCAAAAAAAAAAAAAGAATTGATTTTATATATTGGGTTTCTACAATTAAAGCTTAAACATAAGCTTTTATTTGTTAATTACGACATTATGCAATAAAGTATATTGCCGTCACTTACCTATTAAATTAGTTTATAATTTGATAAATTAGATGTTTGTATAATAAAACTATATATTATGAGGCCTTTTAGCAAAAAAAAAAAAAACCAATATATTATGGGATAATATCATTCTTCATGTAACAATTTCATATTTTCTTTGTGTGCAACCAAGTAAAAATTAAATTAAAGAAGAATTCAAAACCAAAATAATACAAATTTATAGCAATATGGCAATATGTCATACTATAATCACCAACTTTTATCTTATCCATTAAAAAAAAAGTTTATAAACGAACATGTCAATATCTTAGTGGACCAATCAAGGCCGACATGAGTAGATACTAGTACTATTCAAAAGCAAAGGCTTTAGACAGCAAAATTATTAAAATGAAAACAAAAGAAGCAACACAAACATAAGTTGATAAGTCACTCGATACTCTTTAACTCTAATCAATATCGTAAACTTAGATTTAATCTCTCATTCACTAATTTAATTTTGATAAAGTAATTAGTAGTGACTACTTTGGACCACTAGTTAAGAACACAATTAGACCTACAACAATACTAATCAATGTGTAAAGAAGATGGAGACAACTCCTCCAAAGGAAACGGGTCGGCTCTAAAACGTCATTCGTATCTCATCATTAGTCATAACAAAGCTCTTTGTGTCTTGTTTTTATTGGTGTTTGAATGATTAGTTCAAAGTACCATAATTTGCAAGTGGTTCATAGGCCTTTGGAGCATTCAACTCTATGGTATTTGGTTGCCTTCCATAGTCTATCTCTCTTACAAATTTCCTATCAATGTTTAATATATTTTTTTGCGATAGTGAAATAATTTAAACTAATAATTATTATTTTCTAATAGTCTAAACATTCAAATATTCAGTTTGAACTATATCAAAAAAAACAAAATTCAATTGACATGATTTTTTTTTATATAATAGTTTTAGAGATTTTTTATAATAATTTAATAACTTTAGAATTGACATGTATCAACATATTATAAATTCAATTAACACATGTTACGATGGCGTTAATAGTTAATTTTGAAAACCATAATTTATATAATAAAATTTTTCTTGTTTAATTTTTTTTTTTTGAGTAAGTAAATTTAATTCTCCAAAAAAAAAAAAGATAGTAAAAAACTACTAGCTCTATTTTTTTTGCCTTCACTCGTGTGGATTTGCTTTTTTCTCTATATGTTATTATCTAATTACTTGGTGTATATACATTCTTTATTTGGATATTCTTACTTTTAGTTCATGAAGTGAGAAAAGCAAGTTGGAATTATTCCCATTAACTTAAGGAAGAAAACAAAAAGAAGAGAACAAGCGTGGTGTGGTAGAAACTAGAAAGTGGGAGTGTGGGGTGAAATTGCAAAACCCTAGAAAATGGAATTAAGCAAAGCATGCCCCTGGTGGCGACAATGACCACTCTCTCTATATATTGAATATTCCTTCCACTATATAACTTATTCTTTTTGTTTTCTTGGTCCAGTCCTTTTTCCATTTTAGTTCTCGAGGTGCGTATTTTGGTGGTACTCGTACAAACCCATTTCATAACTATACAAGTTCGATAAGATAACAACTTAACAGTACACTCTAAACATTATTACCATCCTGGTCATAGACTCATAGTTCGGTCGGGTAGGAATACGAGAAGCCTATAATATTAGACTCCTCCTTAGCATCGAGTCATATGATTAGAGGCCGGTACATTCCCATTCCATAGATCTCCTAGCTAGTATACCAGTGAAACTATCGACGCACCTCAAAAGTTAAGTATGCTTTTCTTTTCTGGTTGCAAATATATATATAGTACAACTTTATTGGAACAAAAAGACTTTTTATACAATTAAATGTATATATCTTTTTTTTATATATGAATGTCAATAACATATATATAAACAAAGTTGAGGTTTTAACCTATAATCTTGCCCGAAAAAAAAAAAATCATAAGAAATTGTTTAGTGTCAATTATCAAGCTTGATGCGAAATTTCTCGTGGAAAATAGCTCAATTGTCCATCATATAATTCAAATAGCCATCAAATCTCTGAATTGCTTTCTTTCTAGATTGAAAGATGATTTGGTTAAGCTTGAGAGAGGGTACCACATGTAACAGAGAGCCTACCTTTGTAGCGGAATTGACTTCTTTCAAGTCTCTTCAAAAAAGCTTTCTGATGTTCCGTTTACGTCTGCTCCCTCGTCTCTCCAACATCCGGGCGGACCATCTTGCCAAGCAAGCTCGAACTCGTGATTGCATCTTCTCCCACATGATTCCGGCATCCAGTTGGCTTTCCCAAGCGCAGAGTATCTTTCCGATAGTATTATAGTTAGTGTTTTTGTGCCTACAAAAAAAAAAGAGCATATGACTTAGAGTCCCATGTGCCACATAACATAGAAGAGTACCAAGGAGAGGGTAATACTTGGTGAGCGTACAAAAGACAACCTTTCACATAGAAAATCCCAAGGGTGCTATCTTATCATTGTGCGGACTAAACCTTTTCACTCGAGCTTATGTTTCCTTAACATGACATTGCGTCATAGGGTAATATAAGTTTAACAGTTACGTACCTCAAGTTCATTGTTCGTTTTTGCAATGATTTTTTTTTTCTTTTTCTTTAGGATTTTATTTGGAGTTTGATTATAAACGAATGAACTTTGCAAAAGGCGTATCAAACATGATATTGTAAGTGCTTCGATAGTACAATCATTTATCTGAAGAAATATTGTACATCTTTTATGCAAATATATGATACATGTCAATGATTATGCAACTTAATTCACTACAAGAAAACAATGTCGTTGCCGACACAATTCCGACGGATAGCTATCCGTCGATAATATTCGATGGACTCTCGACGGATGTGCGACAAGATCTGGACTGATGGTTTAAGTCGTTTCCGACGGTTTCCAAACGGATACGACCGTCGGTTTTTGGCTGTTTACTTGTAGCTGGCTTGTTCTGAGGTTCATACCCATATCAACAATACCAGCTCCACCACCCCTTATATCACAACATATAGTAACTAATCTGATTTGTGATGAAATGAACTAATTGCCCATATAGATTAGTATATATACTTATATATTCGTCCAAAATATTTTTGTAACCACATAGTTAAAATTTTTGTTTTATAATATAGTGAATTGAAAAAATATATTAGTATTATAAAGAAGATCTCAGTTTAAGTAGGCATGATTAAGTACAAAAAAAAAGTGTTTAAGTGCGTAGAGTGGGAAAATGCTTTTCAACGTTCACATAAGTCACAAGAAAAAGTAATTTTTATTTTTCTTCAGTCAAAAGAACATTTTCGATAGTAAGCCGACAAAAATCTCAGAGGCTTTTTGACGACATCAATCCCATCCTCATCTGTTCGTGTTCAAACGTCCGATTCCAAAAGTGAAAAAAAAAAAGTGAATGTTTCTATGATTACTCGATCTCGCATTAGGTTTATGATTTATAACATTCATAATCTCACTATCTTACCCTTATGATGTTAAGTGTTTTTCTAGCAAACATGTCTATTTTTAGATGTAAATATTGCAAACTTACCCGCAATTATATGACATTATATTATCCTAATTACTCGAATTTGAATAAACAATATGTAATATTCGGCTAAATTTTGTAAGAAAATAATTAACCGAAAAACTCAATAACTAAACCAAACCGTTAGTTATTTTTATTATTTTTGATAATATTTTCGAATTCTGAACTATCCAAATTAAAAACCGAATAATTTGGTCTATTAACAATCTGTAATATTTCGCTAAATTTTGTAAATAAATAATTAACCAAAAAACTCAATAACCAAACCAAACCGTTAGTTATTTTGATTATTTCTGATCATAATTTTGAATTCTGAACTACCCAAAAAACCGAATAAATTGGTTTGAATTAACCGAATTAACCGAAATCGCATGTCTATAAGTTATAATGAAATCACTTAGTTCATCATTAAAAAAAAAATATTTTGTTTTAATAAATGTTAATTAATAATTAATTCTTCTCTAGATTTTTAATGGATAATATTAATATTAAAATTAGCCATAATTTAAGGTGCCAGTGTGCTTGACACCTTTTTTTGTTTCTTTCTATTTTAAAAATTAAACTTTGGTAATATTCCCCTTTTTGTAGCCCATCCTAGCACACTTTTTATCCCTTTTCTATCTAGTACAAAGAATAATGCACATTGCCTTTCTTATAAAACTCTCTTATATGGAGCAAAACAAAATGGTCCATTAAGAAAATATAAAAGAAAAATAAGACTATTATAATCTTTCTAATTAAAGGTCATCATTGATCTCCTCTTTAATTTATATTTTCTTTCTGTTTTACAGCTAAGGTTCAAAGCAAATCCAAAAGAGCAACACTCTCATCACATGAGCATATATATACATATGCAACAACCTTATGTTAATAATAGAGCAAAGCCAAAGAACACAAAAGCAAACATGTCTACTTCTCATCATCATCATCCTCATCACCCTCCATATCTCATCACTACATTATTATTCTTGTTTCTTCACTTCTCTTGCCTTCATGCAAATGAACTTGAGCTTCTCTTATCATTCAAAGCCTCAATTCAAGATCCTCTAAGACACCTCTCTTCTTGGTCTAACTCTTCAACAACCAAGGATGTGTGTCTTTGGCACGGTGTCGTTTGCAACAACTTCTCTCGTGTTGTCTCACTTGATCTCTCCGGCAAGAACATCTCCGGCCAAATACTCAACTCCAAAACGTTCCGGCTACCTTTTCTTCGAACTATCAACCTCTCAAACAACAACTTGTCCGGTCCAATCCCTCAAGACATCTTTACAACTTTGTCTCCTTCTATTCGTTACCTCAACCTTAGCAACAACAACTTCACTGGCTTGGTCCCTCGAGGCTCTCTTCCGAACCTCTACACGTTAGACCTTTCCAACAACATGCTCACTGGTGAAATCTACAACGACATCGGACTTTTCTCTAACCTTAGAGTCCTTGATCTCGGCGGAAACGTCTTAACCGGCCATGTACCGGCCTATCTTGGAAACCTCTCAAGATTAGAGTTCTTAACAATGGCTTCAAACCAGTTAACCGGAGGCATACCGGCTGAGTTAGGAAAGATGAAAAGCTTGAAATGGATATACTTGGGATACAACAATCTCTCTGGTGCAATACCTTACCAAATCGGTGGCTTATCTTCTCTCAACCACCTTGATCTCGTCTACAACAATCTCTCTGGACCAATACCTTCTTCACTAGGAGACTTGAAGAAACTTGAGTATATGTTCCTCTACCAAAACAAGCTCTCCGGTCAGATCCCACTGCCCATCTTCTCCCTCAAGAACCTCATTTCTCTCGACTTTAGCGATAACTCGCTCACCGGAGAGATCCCTGAGCTCGTGGCTCAGATGGATAGCTTGGAGATTCTCCATCTCTTCTCTAATAACTTAACAGGATCAATTCCACAAGGAGTAACTTCTTTGCCACGTCTAAAAGTTCTTCAGCTTTGGTCCAACAAATTTTATGGTGGTATTCCAGCTAATCTTGGGAAACATAGCAACCTCACTGTTCTTGATCTTTCTACCAACAACCTCACCGGAAAACTCCCTGAAACTCTTTGTGACTCTGGCCATCTCACCAAGCTTATCCTATTCTCTAACTCTCTGGACAGTCTAATCCCACCGGGTTTGGGCACTTGCGAGAGATTAGAACGTGTTAGGCTTCAAAACAATGGCTTCTCAGGCGAGTTACCTCAAGGTTTCACCAAGTTGCAACTCGTTAACTTCTTGGACTTATCAAACAACAACCTCCAAGGTAATATCAGCACATGGGACATGCCACAACTTGAGATGTTAAACCTCAGCAGGAACAACTTCTCCGGTGAGTTACCAAATCTTTCTAGAAGCAAAAGACTCAAGAAGCTCGATCTATCAAGGAACAAAATCTCTGGAACGGTTCCTCTAGGAGTCATGACGTTCCCTCAACTTATGGATATGGATTTAAGTGAGAACAAGATCACAGGAGTTATCCCAAGTGACTTGTCTTCTTGCAAGAATCTAGTTAATCTCGACTTGAGTCACAACAATCTTACTGGAGAGATCCCTTCGAGTTTCTCCGAATTCCAAGTTCTCAGCGATCTTGATCTATCTTGCAACAGCTTATCCGGTGAGATTCCTAAGAATCTAGGAAACATCGAGTCTCTTGTTCAAGTCAACATCTCTCATAATCATCTTCACGGAAGCTTACCTTCAACTGGAGCTTTTCTTGCAATAAACGCAACAGCAGTCGCAGGTAATAGCGATCTTTGCAGCGTTAATACAGCTAGCGGATTAAGTCCTTGCAAGATTGTGAGAAAGAGAAACACAAAGAGTTGGTGGTTTGTCGTCACTTCAACTTTTGTAGCTTTCTTGGCAGTTCTTGTCTTCGGTTTCTTTATCACTCTCGTCGTTCAAAGGAAGCACAACGTTTTAGAGGTCAAGAAAGCGGAACAAGAAGATGGTACAAAGTGGGAAGTTCAATATTTCGATTCAAGATTCATGAAATCGCTTACAGTGAAGACAATTCTATCATCTCTCAAGGACCAAAACGTTCTTGAGGACAAAAACGGCATGCAGTACGTTGTTAAAGAGATCAAGAAGTATGATTCTCTTCCCGAGATGTCGGAAATGAAGAAAGTTTCTGAACACAAAAACATTCTTAAGTTAGTTGCTACGTGCCGGTCGGAAAAAGTGGCATACTTGATACAAGAAAACGTCCAAGGGGAACGACTGAGCCAGATTTTGAATGGTTTGAGTTGGGAAAGAAGGAGGAAGATTATGATAAGTATCGCGAAAGCTCTTCGGTTTTTACATTGCCGGTGTGCGGTTGTTGCCGGTAATTTATCGCCGGAGAATATTGTCATCGACGTTAAGTATGAACCAAGGCTTTGTCTTGGTCTTCAGGGCCAACTTTGCATGGATGCTGCAGCTTACATGGCCCCAGGTACACTTACATAATTACATTTTATTGTCTCATTGAGGTTTCACGTTTTGGAATTACATTTATTTGAAGAAAAATTAATTTCAGTCTCGTTTTTTAGTTTTTTTTTTGCAATAAGTTTTGATTTAAATAACTAATTAATTAGTATTATAAATATAACAAATTCCTTAAATATCATAGATTTTTAGTGGAATTTAATGTATTTTTTCTATATATTTATTTTTTTGATAAGTTTTTTGGTTAACAAAATTCTGTATGATTTTCTGAGTGATGGATTTCAATTTAATTCGGTTTTTATTTCTTGTTTTTTTTTGTCAACACCTTAAATAAAAAATAACTGCCAAAATTTGGTTTTTTAAAAAATATTTTTTTTTTCATTTTACATACGAAAGGGATTTTCTTTTTATTTTCTCTTTCTTTTATTATGTATTTTCTCTTTTCCTCTTATCAAAGGTTTTTTTGTTTTTTGTTTTTGGTGTAGAAACGAGGGAGCACAAGGAAATGACAAGTAAAAGTGACATATATGGTTTTGGAATCCTCCTACTTCATCTCCTTACCGGTAAAAACTTTTCCGGTGATGAAGACATAGAATCTAAAGTCAACGGAAGTTTGGTCAACTGGGCAAAATATTCATATTTGAATTGCAATACCGACACGTGGATCGACTCATCTATCGACACGTCGGTACATCACCGCGATATTGTCAATGTCATGAACTTAGCTTTGAACTGCACGGCCATTGATCCGCAAGAGAGGCCTTGCACCAAAAATGTGTTACAAGCATTAGAGTCTATCTCATCGTCAAGTTCTTCTTGCACTAGATATTTTTCAAAGATACTATTGTTAGCTTGACAATTTTGGTTTCTTGATCTATTGAGTACTTTAATTAGTAGGGGTTTTTGGATTTTGTTTTCTCTTCTTATTCTCATTTTTTTCTTTGCTAGGTTTTATAACCCAAATAGATTGTCTATCAAGGTGGTTTTGTTTATGTTATCTTGATTTTTACAGATGAATGAGTATATATAATGTAATGTGAATAATGGTTTTTATGAGAAGAATGTTTTGAATGTTCTAAAATATCTAACTAGTCAGGTAAAAATTACGCATTGTAGTATCTCTATTCATTTGACAAGTGATATGTGACGATTAAGTACATGTTAATTAGGTCACTCACAATAGACTTCGATGTAACAAGTTTACTACATGGGCGTGCACAATCCAATTATTTTTCCAAGAACACACCGCTTGTTAATTTCGGATTAAATACAATTTTTTTTTTTTTTTTGCCTTTAAAAACTTTATATTTTGGTACAAGAAAACAAACACAAATCAAACAAAGTTCCAATGAAAAAATACTGGAGAAATGTTAATGTAATTAGTAGAAAATACTATAAATTTTTAAGAATTTCTGACGAAAATGTTCAGTAGTGTAACGCGGTGAAAATCCATAAATTTTTTCCACTCGATCGTAATACCTTTTTTTGTTTTCCATATTTAAAGATCATGGTAAAGTTCTATATAGCGCAGTTGATCAAAACGCAGTCGTACCGATTACTAATGTAGCATCCTAGTCATCTTGTTATTAACAGCAGCGTAACAACATTAATTTAACAATTTTGTCATTTTCAATTCGGATTAGTTTTGTTCATGTAAGAAATTCAAAATTTATACACAAAACAAAATTTTTTGAAAGTGAATTGACCAAAAAAACCTTAGTTTGGAGAGGGGAATTGGTCGTTTTCCCTACCCGTGTATAGTTATTAATCAATTATGAAATAATATATAACAATTACAAAAGATAACTTAAAAGAGAAGATCGAGTGGGATAAGTACTTTAGTAAAATTGTACTTAAAAAAACATGAAACTTCGACAATGTGGTCAAAGATATTAAGTGAACAAAAGGAATAGCCAATTCGAAAAGGACTCAACACATGTAGACACTTTGGTTTTGAAATTCGTTATCATTGTTTCTTGGTGTATCTTCTTTATTTTTTTCTACTTTCTACAATTCTTTTATGTTTTGTATGAGCATGTTTGTCTATATATAAAATTATTTTTGTTTGCAATGATGAGAATGAGAAGATCGAAAACCTTTTTTTTTTTTTTATTATCAAAGGAGAGATTTGTCTATATGCTTTCTGCATTTCTTTAAAGGTATCCATTTGTAATTATGCATATATGTTTCCATAATTATAGAAACTAATACTGATCAGTTATCAAATAATAACATTATTAAAAAGACGTTTGCATTCAAATAATTGAAAAGACAGTTTTAATTTTCTTTTTCTTTTTAATTTCAAACATACAAATCTTATAATTATACTCAAATCATGAAAAATGTTTCTCTAGTTACAATATTTGGACTAAGCCACATACGTTCAATATTACCAGACATTAAGAAGAATTGTTTATCTAGATAAGTATGCTTAATTTGTTAAACTTGTATGTAGAATCTAGAAATGTCTAAGGCACACTATCAAAAGTAATGTCTAAATCTAAGTTAATGAAAGATAGATACTTAAACAAGTGAAACCCGAGTCAGGATAGATCCTGGAAGTTTGGTGAAGCAACCGATCAGTTCATGTCTCTCGGGTCAAAATGTTGGATCGATTGATTTGGGAGGTGGAGCTACATCGTTCCCCTCCACGGCTCCACCTCAGATCAAACTCATGACTTGCTTTCTCAAAACATTGAAGAAAATCAAATATTCGCATTTGACATAAACACAAGAAATCATGTTTGGATCTACAATTTTGGCATTAACCTAGCAAAACGTTTTGGTATTCAAGTTTTACTGGAATATTTAAAATTTTTATTTAAAAATTTAATATTTACTGGAATATAGAAAATTTTATTGGAAGAAATATCAACATACATGAAATCACAAAAATGTTTAAAATTCAATTTACATTGGGCTTTATCGTCTGGCGGGTTTTAAATAGACGGTCATAAATGTGTTACAAAATTAAATAAACATAAAGAACACGGACATAAACGGACGGATATAAACAGTGACACGAACGTGAACGGGCTGGACAAGTCCATAATAACATCTCTACAGAAGATTCATTGTTACAAAGTCACTATAAATAAACCTTTCCACGGATCGACAACACATATCAGCCTTTATCATAAAGTTTATACTCATCAGTCATCATAATGCTTGTTATGTTTTATTTGCTTTTCTGTTTTGTCAAAGATGTTGATTTGCTTTGAGATTAAAATCATTGTGTTAAATTATGAAAAAGAATGATAAAAATTATGAATAAATGTGGATAGGGACGTAACAGCTAAGTGGGAGCATGTTCTAATGTCAAAAAGCCTCGAAGATAGTAACAATGATACTTGTTCTTGGAGACCATGCATAAAGCCCTTTGGACGACCTTACTTCCTTTCCAGTCAAAAATGTTCCTTTTTATTTCCCTTTTCTCAATAGCTTTGTCCATTTCAAATTACATTTAATCATGGTTTTCTCATTTATATGAACAAACCATCTTTTTATTCTAGTTTTGAAAGGTAACACTAATAATAGCGTAATAATGTTTTTAACGCAATTATGCAAAAACTTAACAATTGAGAAAATTTGCGTAATCGCATTGGAAAACACAAAAACGCTGAATTTAAGTGTTCGTCCAAAAATATAAGTAAAACATTATTATGAAAATAGTGAATATTAGTTGTTTATTCGTATAGTAAAATTTATTATTTTATACATAGAAAATATTACTAAGTAGGAAAATTATAGAAATGAAATTTATAGTATTTAAAATTTTTACAACCATATATACAATTTTATCATTTTACACATATAAATATAAGCAATTGTAAGACTAAGAAAATATTTTTATAATAAAATTTATAATATTTTACAATTTTATATCCACTTATTTATTTGTTTATTAGATTTAAATATAAATTAGTAATATAATATTATATTTTTCATTTCGCTAATGTATCCAGTTGAAAATTTTTAAAGCAATTTCATCATGCGTTTATTGTGCAAGTTTTTTATTTTACGAATTTTTATTCACTATGTTATTATGCAATTATGTATTGATATCAGTTCTTCAGAGCTCTTTTGTATTTTTATAATGGACAATGACAATGAATGTGTGTATATATATATATATATATATATATATATATTTATTTGTTAAAAGGAATTTTTATTTTTATGTATGTGTATATTTTCCTCACTCTCTTTTGTTTTGTAAAGATAAAATATAAAAATAAAGAGAAAAATATATAAAGTAAATTTATATAAATATATACTGTTTATTAAATATATATTGTTTATGACCATGCCGATGTTCTATCTTAATCTGAATCTTGTTGGTTTGTAGTAAAGAGCCCGCCACTGCCGACCAAACGATTGTGAAGGAAAAAAGGTATGCGAAGAAGGGATGGGTCTCTTGATTTGTGCGGTTTAAGTATTTACCACAAAATTACGTGTTCATGAAAATAGAAATTTAGAAATGTCAAAAATATTAATTTGTAAATTATTTAGGTGTATATTTATTTTAAATCAATAATTAAAATTAGTAAGATTAACATTAAGATTGAAAGTACCTAATAAAGTTACAGAACGATTGGGATATATATATATATATATATATATATATATATCATCTAGTAATCCAACAATAGTTTAGTCAACTCTAAATTCAAGGCGGGCAACAAACCTTCACTTATCAATTCTATTTGTACGTAAAAACAGTCCGTAGTTAGTGTGTGATGGGGTTTTAAGTCCACATTAATACAGATATAATTGAGGAATGGTAAATAAAAATGGTCGGATCTATAGACAATTTTATCCGCTCGAAACGATGTAACCATTCAAACCCATTTGTTGTTGTATGCAGCTAAATAAGTGATTGTGAAGTTCAAACGATTTGCTTGATATGCAATTTTTTTTTTTTTTATTAATGTTAAAATTTATTAGTCACAAATATCCACTTTACATGATTGATTTTTAAAATCCAAACTGATTTCAAGAGAAAATCAGAAAAAATTGGAAATCAAAATTCTCTACCAAAAATTAAATTAAATGTTATTAGCATGAACAAGCAATGACAAAAAAAAAAAATTAACAAACAATAATTCAACAGAAAACTAACACAAGTGAAGAAATAAACAATGGGAGCTACATCGAATAAGTTATTTGTATAATATTCAAAAATAATAATAACAAACGATATAAATGAATAAATATATAATACGTATATAAATAAAAAAACCATAAAACAAAAATAAAATGAAACTCACACTATACAAATCTCGGATGCTCCCACCGGAACACACACTTCATCTTGTGAGGTTATTGAACGTTGCAGTACTAGTCTTATGTCCACTAGAGCTTCTTTGGCAGATTATATGTCTTCTTGAGAAACCTCGTCGCGGATTCATCATTACGGTAACACAAAACACGTAAGAGCGTGTTTGGCTCCATGCCATTCCACTGGCCTGATGTTGGAGGCAACGGAAGCCTCGACTTAGCTGCAGACCCGTAAGCTTCGAGGGTCGTTCCCTTGAACCTCTCTATTAAACTGTCTGTGTCTGTACTAAACAAAGGAAGCACGCCTCTTACTGTGGTCGAGAACTTGTCAATCAGTTCCATGGCTAGACCATCTCCGTTTGCCCAAAACATATCTTTCAGTGATTTGAAATCTTCTTCCATTATTTGGGAGTCCTGTCTTGTAAAAGCCCTAGAGGGTCCTCCAGCTAGTAGGACAAGTAAGAAGCCATCGAACGAGGCTTTCATAAGATCGGTGATGATGCGTGTACGTACTCTTTCATGTACTGTCTCTGCAATGACTGTCAAATTCTGTTCGAGCTCCTTGAGGAAAGGATCGATTCTAGATGATGAGAGGTCACCGATGTATAACCCGTCCCATAATGTGTGGCTTAGGTCATGGAAGACAACTTTGTAAGCTAGAGACTCGGAAAGCTGTTGAACGCCTTCAATGCAAGCCGCTGGTGTGAGCTCAAACTTTTTTTCTAAGCCATTGGAAAAGTCATCAGTGTGAGCTGACTCACA